TACAACGTACTTTTTATGACTTTGATGGATTTTAAATAAAATGGATGATAGAGAGTCTACACCGAAATACCACTAGTGGTATCTAGAGAGAAGTCAGAGCAATAAGGAAGAGAGAGAATAAGGATGCAATAAATGAATTAGTCATCCATTATAACTGCCCAAGGGTCCTAAGCCATTTCGGTTTCAAAATATGTGGATTAATCATCACTCTTTTATGAAAATAGTTGAAAACAGTTGGTCTCATTCTCGGAATGTTGGGGAGTGAGAGGTTTCTATAAGAAATTACAGTAGCTTAAACAGGATCTCAGGGAATGGAATAAAATGGCTTTTGGTAACATTTTTGAAGAATTATAACAAAGGAGCAGGAAGTTTTGAAGGCTGAAGAAATGTATGAAACAAATCCTTCTGATATTAACCAGGAACTGTGGTCTAAAAGTCAGGCTGAACTGCTTTTCAAAAGTATTTGAACTAAGTTGATAGTATCATATACTCTCATAACAATTGATAGAACAAACTTTAGAGATAATATGTAGAATACTTGAAGTGGAAAATCATAGCTTTTCTTTTTAAAATATCTTTGGAAGTATTTCAGTCACTAGTATTAATAACCAAAAAACTAATTTACACCACCATTCACTAATTTAAAATATCTTTGGAAGTATTTCAGTCACTTATAAAAACACATAACAGCAGTTAGTATAATAAAAAGCAGAAAATTCTAAATGACCTACAATTTTTCTTTCAATATGCACAATCATGGCCATCATGTTTTTCAAGTAAGACATGGACTTGTCTGGTTTAATTTCCGAACATGATTATCATACTATCATAGTAAAGAAGGCTAGAAGAGCTAAAGATTATTGTGATGAAAGAATTGAAACTCACATTTCTTAGAGAATTTTTTTTGGAAGGGACGTTTCTTAGAGAATAAATAAATGAAAACTCACAAGTATGTTTGAGGAGATATTTTTGCCATGTTAGCACAAAATCCTTTTTAATAGCGTCTTAGGTAGAAACGAAAAGATATGAACTAATCAAAGTAGGCAGCCAACAACTTAGATGTATGAGGTCAATGTGAAGTGAATTGCTCCAAAAACAACTCTGTATTTTATGAGTTACATTTAGGAAAAACAACTCCGTAATGAAATGCAAAATGCAACTCCAGAACCCTTCCAAACAGAAATCGAATAACAATAGAGAAAAATAATGAAATTGGTGTCCCGTTTTTTGGGTTTGTAAGCTTTTGGCATAGAGCATCGTATAACAATCTAAACGTATTCTCACAATGAAGCTAATAAAATTACATGAGAATGATTGAGAGAGTTTGGGACTTCAAATTTCACGGATAATAAAAAAGAACAACTAACCTTGAACAATACACGATAGGGGGTAAACACAAAATATTAAGAGGGTAAGTTAATAACAACTAACCTTAGAACAAAGATAACAATGAATTGTAGAGAAGATGAAGTTGACGGAAGAACAGGAGACTGTGACAGTGGCGTCGGCGGATCGAGAGGCTCTGCGGCAGCGTCGGTGAGGAGATCTGCTTGGAGCTGCGGCGGCCGGCGTCAACGAAGACCTGAGACTGCGGCAGCAGTAGCGGAGAGAAGATGTGGCGGCGTCGACGATGACCTGCAGCTGCGGCGCTAAGACGTCGGCCGGAAGCTGCCGAGAGGGGGCTGGATTTTTGGGAGGGTTTGAAGTGTGTTGATGGAATGAGGGGGAAGAGGAAATAGGCGTGAAAAATTGTTGGGCGGTGGGCTGGATAAGGGGTATTTGGTGCGGTTCGCTTATAACCGTAGCAAGTAGGCGGGGAAAATCAATGTAGCTGCTGCGGGTGATGGCAACGGGGCGGATCGGGTAGGGTACACATAAAATCGGAACCGCCCCGTTGTATAAATGTTTGCCCCAAAACCGACTCATTACCCGTTCGAGTAATTTTTATTTGAACCATACCCGCCCCAACGGGGAATCGGTTTATACACGGGTAACCGTTTCCCTAAATGATACCAAATAACCAATTTTTTTTGGGAAAACAAATAACCAATTTTTAATCCTACTTGTTATTTACAGGGCCGGCCCAGGGGTGTGTAGGGTGTCCGACCGCACAAGGCCCAAAAATATGGAAGGCCCAAAAAAAAATAGTAGTAGTATTACTACTAGTCTACTACTCCGTATAAGCTAGTCAGCTCAATAGCGAACAAAAAGGTGTGGGATGAGCATAGCAATCTGCGAAAGAGGAAGCGCATAGGCCAAAGGGCATAACGAGTGACTGAGCGAGACGAGTGACGTGCCGACGACTCTCTGTCTCCAGGCTCTGCTCCAGCCTCCAGCCATCCTAATTTTCTCTGATTTCTAAGTTGCTGCGGCGATTTGGACGCATCTAGGACGGTAGGACTCCACTATTCTAGGTAAATTCGTAACTAATAGAGAGTAATGGTTCTTTATAAATTAATTTTGTAATCTGAGTTCAACAAAGTGATATTAATAGGTTCTTAGCTAGGCTGTTAGATTTGTTTTTGTTTCACTATATAACTTTATACGTAAATAATTTTTTTCTTAGATTTATTACTGTTAGTTAATACTAGCAACTTCTATTTTGAAATAATTTTTTAATAAATTACTACTACTCCGTATTAACAATTTACCATTTCAATTGAAATAGCATTTCTATTAACAATAGAAAAGAAAGGCCTGATTTTTGTTGTTGCACAGGGCCCTCGTTTTCTCGGGACCGGCCCTGGTTATTTATATATTCAAAGTACCCTAAAACATACAAAAGTAAACATTTAAACAATCAAGCAGACTGACCTAAATTCATTAGTATGACATGCACCCAATATCTCTTGTAACATAATAAAAAAGTAGTAATCATCCCAGAATCCAAATTTCAAAAACAGGTTTAGGCCTATATTTAGTTTTAGGAGCATTATTTATATGATATATATACTATTTAGTATACACAAATTAGCATATATAGTTATTATTCTTATATATAAAAAGTTATAATTTATTAATAATGTTATGGATCGGGTAACGGTGCGGGTACCCGCACCACTAGTGAACGGGGCGGTTTCGGGGCGGATAACGGGGTGGATTAGTATAGAACCATAACCGCACCATTAACCATTTAAAAAATTCGGGTATCCCGCTCCGTACTCATTCCCCAGTCAAACCGGTTTTCCCCCATTTGACCAAATCGGTTCGGTGCGGGTATCCAACGGGTCGGCCGAAATTGTCATCTCTAGCTGCTGCGGTTCCCCTTACCCGCAGCACAAAAGTAAAAAATAAAATAAAATTCGAAAATTTATAAGTATTTGTTGCGGTTCCGATAGGACCGCAGCAAAAAGTAACAAATTTTCTAATTTTTTGCTGCGGTTATTGTAGAAACGCAGCAAATACATATAAATTTTATCTATTTGATGCGTTTTTACTAAGAACCGCAGCAATTGGGTAGCAGCAAATAAGGAAAATTCTAGTAGTGATGCGGGTGTCAGGGGCATTCTTTTTTAGCTGAAGGCGAAGGTCTGCAACGGCCATCTCCATTTCAGCAATGGTCCCGCCTTCAGGGGCTCTGTTGGAGGCTTCAACGTCGTTGGTTTCCCCGAGTCCTAGCTTGTTATCCTCTACAGTCTTTGATTGGCCTCTAGTCCTACCCTTTTTAGTAAGAGCTATCCGTTTTCTAGATGGGAGGATTCTTACTTGATTGCTCGACCTCTCAACGAGAGCACCAAATGATAGAGAGTCTATACCGGGATACCACTAGCGGTATCTAGAGAGAAGTGAGCGCAATAAGTAAGAGAGAGAATAGGGATGCAATAAATGAATTAGTCGTCCATTACAACTGCCCAAGGGGCGTTATTTATAGCAACCATAAGTGTTAAGCGCATTTAATGCATATACATGTGTAAGTTAGTCTATGGTGAAGAGTTATCTCAACTGAGGTGGCGTCGGCACAACATGTGGCACCACATTTAATGTGGTGGTCGGGCGTTAGTGGAGAGGAGCTCCTGCCAAATTCTGAGGCCCTTGGTACCAGGGCCGAAATCTGATCCTTGGGACCAAATTTATCAGTAAAGTTGTTGGACCAAAAGTAGTCGTGTCCTTGAGTTTTGGGCCCTCAGCAATGATGCCAAAGGCGTCCCCCACATAGTATGGGCCTTGTGTAGCTTGGGTTGGTGTATCCGGGACCTGTTGGACCTGTTTTAAGGTAGTAGGGGTATGTGGGTCGGGGTTCTTGGGCCATATACTCCATCAATGGATTTTGAAATCCAAGGGGAGTCTACAAGATTGTGATGGATTGTTTTTGTATGTAGAAATCCATCAAAATCCATTAAAATTCATCCAAATAAGTAACAATAGAAACCCACGAAATGTTTGAGGACACCCTTATTTTCATGGATTTCACAGAAATCTAAATCGGGAACACCTGGATTCTGATGGAATTCTAAACTCCATTAAAATCCTCCAGAATCCGAATTGCGGACACCCCCCTAAGTTCTATCTAATGCATAACTTAGTTTCACATAATGTCACTATGTCGCACCCCTTTGTGTTGCACATTTCAATTTCATATAATTTACATTTTAGTTTCACCTAATACACATTCAATTCCACGTTTCCACATAATACAATTCAACGATCCAGAATCATTATCAATTTTCTTCTATGAAAATGCTAAAATAGTCTTTTTTATAACTAAAATAAACCAATCCAGAGAGAAAAATAGTTACACGCGTGCTTATTTTAATAGCAAATTCAAATGTTAAATGTTTAGTAAAAATATTGCTGATCGCGACTTACAAGCCGAAAGTATACCAAACGGGCCTTATTTGTAGAATATATTTGAAATTGAAATTCTTGAGAGTAGCAGTGTAAACACAAGTACACAACCAGTAGCCTTGCTTATTAAGTATTTGTGATAATTTATATATCTAGTTCCACTATATTTTTTTTATTAAAAAAAGCTTGTAGTGGGTGTATTCAAGAAAGTGGCTTGCTTTTTTCCATCTCATTACATTTTTGAAGATAATGTGAAGTACTGGGTGCACTTAAAATTCAAACAAGTTAAACATAGCACACCCTTTACTTTTGAAGAAATGTTACGGTTTATAGGAAATTAGGAATAGCAAATCGACAGAGCAAGTATAACAATACAAACAATTGATGCATGACATCCGGAAATCCGGAATTATCAGATGAGCACTACTCCGAATAAGGTTCCAACCCCCTTGTCAAACCAAAAAACAATGAGGAGAGCTGACGAAAAGCTAAATAATAATGACTTCATCACACAAGTACCATGAAAAATCACTATCATTATCGGATTCATAATTCCATTGCTGTGACCTTGATCTGCTGCTGGCACGCCTTGCTGAATTACCTGCCCTTCTCCTAGAAGCAGATCCACCATCAATACGATCATTTGAACGACGTGTTGATGAGCTTCTATGCCTGCTGTTTGGTGTTCTGGAGACAGAATGTTCCCGGTAATGATGACTAGAGGTTTCTGTTGACCTTCTTGACCTAGTTTCATGTAATTGATTATTTGAGTGCAGAGTAGAACTCCTGGACCTACTTTCCATAGGATGCCTGTCTACACTTTCTATAGAGTTGGGATCTTCCATGAAATAATTTGACAGAGTCTCAGGTAGTAGTATATCATCGTCCTCGTAGAACAACAATTCATCATCAGCAAACCAGGCATTGAAATCTGATAGATCAAAAGGTGATTCGTCAAAATGAAAAGAGAAGGGGAACTCGTGTTCCAAACCAGAGATTGAGAACTCCTCATCGAGGCTAACAATGTAATCTTCATCAAAGTCGGTGAGATGTGATTGATAAGCATTAAGAGTATCCTCAAAGTCTCTTTGGAGCTGCAACCTTGTCCACTCAGACTCACGTCTAGGGTCGGTTTCGGATGGATGGTGAGATGGATGTTCTTCTCTAGCATGCTTCCTTAGCTCGACATATGTGCCAGTAAAATCACATGTCTCCCGCGAACAACTCCTTGTCTTAGAATTCATAAGCCCCCTAGCAGCCTCTACAACGACACACCCTTTGATCTGTCCACGGCAAAGAGGGCAAACAAGCTGTTGGTTTCCAAGAGACCTGATATGTGCATGCATTAATCGCTCCATCCTACCTCTATGAGAAGATGTAGCTGATGTGGGAGGGAGAATAGGTTGTCGAGCAGCAAATGACTTACAGAATTGGTCAAGACAATTTGAGTGGCGGTAACTTGTGTCACACATATATGGCCTACAACCATTTTCTAGAGAGGAGCATAACAATAGGACGGCATTGTGTGGGTGCTCCATACATATTGGGCACCTGGCTTCCTCCCACTCTCTTTCATTCCCTACTATTGGGGGTGACTTTTCAGACCTGACACCAGTTTCCCTTAAGCTGCATGGATGATAAGGAGATGCCCTAACTCGATTGTTTGACAGCGAATTCACCCTATGATCTTTTGGCATTTCTGCAGGACCTGAAACAGTAATAGTAGGTTAATATGGCGCTGACATTCAAAGTTTGTAATTTCTTTAAGAGACAGATTTCTACAGAAGCAAATTGCAATACAAACAGGGGCAGTCCTCACATTTTGGAGACCCTGTTAAAAATCAAACGTTCTTTATTTAACAAGCTCCATAACTTTGTTTTAAATTGATTCATTCACACACTCTTCACACGATAAAGACAGAGATGGAACTTCTTTTAAATTAAGAGCTGTTTCCCTTCCTCAGTGACCAGTCCAAAACCAAATACCTCAGATTTTTCTGCAATTTCAACCTCCAATAAATTTATCTAAAATTGCTTAAACTATTATTCGGGTAATTATATATTTTTGGGTTATAATCAATCATTGTTAAAATCTCATGTTCAAGGAAATATCAGAATACATTGAAAACTACACTCAAATTAGACAGACATAGGACAGATGGGCTAGATTTGTAAGAGCTAATTAAACCATGAAGCAATCAATTTTCATTAACAAAAGAACACGTTACGAATGGACTAGCTACACTGATAATATGGGAAAGATTGCATCACTACCAAATCTAGATCTAGAATATAGAAGTGCAAGAAAGACATGTGGAAACGAAAAGAGACTAAATAGGCCACAAAAGACAGTATCTCTTCATCGCACCTAGTTTTAAACAGCATAGTGAGGTTAAGATTAAGAAACTATATAAATCATCTACATTGGATTACTTTTAGTTTGCATCTTGGACATGATTAGATAAAATTGAAGATTAAAAGATTAACCAACTCTTATTGCATCTATAGTACTGATATTTTGAAGCAAAATTCATTTGAAAAACTCATTGAGGCAGTTTTTAAAAACGTACGGAGAGCTATAGACATTACAGAACTAACGGTTCCAGATATAGGTTTTTTCATGTTTTATCTGAGATATAAAGAAGATATAAAACCCTGGACATAAATATATACAAAAGAAGAACCGTGACTGAATAAATATATAAATTAATAAATAAATTATCTATAAAATGTAGCATCAGACGTATTTCCACCTAGACGGGATTGGAGGGATGACTAGCGATCAGCAGTAGGGGAGACTGGAGACGATGGAGAACGGATGTTGGAGAAGACCGATGATGGATTGCGGCGGCGGAGGACCGGTGGTGCACGATTGTGGCTGGAGATTCGTCTCGCTCCGTGAATGTCCAACCTTGTTCTTTTTTTGAGGAAAACCGACATGTGTTTATGTTGCCTTTACTGTTGTTTTATTATACGGAGTACGAGTAATTAACTACGGAGTATTTCACTTCTGGTTTTGTTTAGGGCAAATAATTACTCCGTAATACAATTTTTTTGGAAGAGAGTAAAATGACCCACGGACGATCGTCAGCTCTCGAATCAGACTTGAAGTTAAATCACCTTCAAACAAGCAATTTAACAGTCTCATGACAAAAAACGACAATAAATGCAGATAAATAAAAATTCCTTTCCTTCTTCACGAGCACCTCCACATATCCACCAGGCGAGCCCCCTGGCGGTGGTTCAGGAGGATGTCAGACCATCGCTATGATTGTTGACATGAACAAGCCACGGCTCTGAACCTTAGCACCAAAGGCTCTGCTCCCATCTGTTGCACGATTGGTTTCCTGTCGAGCAACCTTCATCTGTCTCAGCTCTCCGTCCAGCACATCCTTCTTCGACCCACTCTCCTTCGTTGTTCTGCCGCCCATCACGTTCTCCACCGAATTGAACCACCGGTTTCCCTACTCGAATTTGCTACTCCAAGATCTCGCTCGCCCTTCATCCTTTGACCTGAAAAACGAAACGGAAAGCAACCTTCCGAAGCCCCCAAAGGCCAAAACACCCCCTGCCTACGGCCGCACCTCGGAAGGCCGAGAGCGGAGAAAACGAAGCTCTAGCGGCTAAAAGCCCTAGAGAGAGAGAAAATTGCATAAACCAATTTTTTGTTTCCATAATACAAGTCTTTCTAAGGTGTTTTTCATTTAAAGTGATTTTGAGCTTATTTTCATAGTTTGGTCCGATTTCATAAGGATGTTTCTTTTGGACTGAAATTTGTTGGTCTGGTTTGATCTGGACTGGTCTGGTAAACATCTGGTCTCTAAGTATTTTATAACTGTAGAAGTTTGGTCTGGTCTGGAACTGAAAACAGTCCAAAAAACACCGTGAGTCTCAATTGGTCTATGTATATGTTACAATTATCAAAGTTTGTTTGGTCTGGTATGATTTGGAACTGATAGCAGTCTAAATAAAAATATCCTAATTAAATTTGAAAACGTTAAAAAAATGATTGTTTTTTCTCAAATGAAGCACTTTAAAATGTAGTCATTTCATCACTTTTCCTATTACAGAAGTATTCTTTTTATCAATCATTCTATCTTTAACTTTTTCAAAATCACCTTTTAAATATTAAACCAGCTTTTACTATTAATCTCTTACATCTAATTTCTATAACCATTCACTTCTTAAAAGTAGAAGTAATCACAAGCACATTTAGTATGTAATAACATAAATACATTGTTATAATTCCTCTTTTGAATATTTATGTGTAATGGTACTTTCAATTAGACTAGTTTCAATCTCAAACCAAAATAGACATAAATAGATTAAATCAGACCCAATGTCCAACAATTGTAGAATACACACACAACAGACATCTATCAAATCAAGTTGTTTCAGACTTTTTTTTTGTCATAAGTTATTTCATACTTAAACCCATCAAACAAGTTTAAATAAAAACAAGCCCAATAAGAAATTGCAGTCAAATCAAAAACATTTTAACTCATTTATTGAGTGTTAGAGTTATTTAGCTTCTAACCCCTATTTATGACAACTAATGTCTACGTATACAGGAATTGATTTCCGTGCAACCACCTTGACATTTTTGTAAAAAAATACGTCAATCAATGTGGTTTACATGCAAACCAATGTATGTGTACACCTGCATCAGTTGTCTGTGCGACTGTGTGTAACATTTTTGTTTATGTTAATAGACAACTTAATCCTGATATTAGTTGTCTGTACAGACAAAAATTTATGTACTCATACACTTTTTTGTCTGCGCATACATACATTAATTTATGTGTCACATTAATTTACACTGATAGAAAACTAGTGTATGTAGACATAAGTTTTTTCTATGACGAAATTTTACAAAGCATTATTAATTTTTCAATTTTTTATACAAACAAATGTTATATCACTTTTGGTAACTACAACTCAGATGATAATGATGTAGGTGAGACAAGGTGAAGATGGAAGCTAACGAAGAAAGAAGATGAATAGAAAAGGGAAAAAGGGTCATATACACCCTTCTACTATATCAAATAAGTCACTTCAACCCTTCTACTAAAAAACCCATCAAATAGATACATTTATTATTAAAAAAGCATCAATAATGTCGAGATACCGGATGGATACTCGCTATAGCAGGTCGTGAGTTTATTTTACTTTTTTTTTTTTCATTTTTCTTTCTTGTGTGTCCTTATACAGTAGTTCGTACGTAGTACTGTATATCCTACGGAACTACGGTGTATTAATTCTCAACCTCTTTATTAGCATTTTTCTTCTTTATCGTTATTTTGCCTTCCACTAAAATGCAAAAATCTCTTCCCCGTATCTTTACTTTATACTTTCAATCTAAGAGAAAACGGATAAAATTGGGTGTATATACACAATTAAATAGATGCCTTTAAGTTAATGTTATGGATTATTAAAAATAAGGTAGATAGCCTGAATTAAAGCCCATCAGTGCCGTTAACTATCCTTGAAATCCAAAAATTCCCCAACCGTTAACTATGCTTCTAAATCCGCAAATTCCTTCAGTATGGGATCACGCCTCTGCAAATATGCAATGGAGCAAACAAACAACTATTCGGTTCCTTCCAATGCAGAATTAACCTGTCATGCACCCTCATCTAGAGATCTGCACTTCTTAGAATGAATAATTTAACAACCGCGTCTAGGAAGCAATTATATTTTCATCGCCTGAGTTGATGACCACATTACTATAAGTCCTTACTGTCTGGCCATCGTCGTTTGAGGCGGTTCACGATGGAATTGTTTGATGAATTTTTTTGAGGGGTAGTTTGAGTTTGCACTCCATATTATTGTTCAAATTGGACTTTGCACTCCGTTTTTAAAAAACTTTGTTTTTGCACCCCAACTCCATATGAAAAGACAAAAATGCTCTCGATCAAGAATATGTTGAAGACCATCATAATTGTTAATGGAGAAGCATTTTTGTCTTTTCACATTGGGTTGGGGGTGCAAAAACAAAGATTTTTAGAAACGGGGTGCAAAGTCCAATTTAGACAATAAAATGGGGTGCAAATTCAAATTATCCCTTTTTTGAGCATCTTATTCATTAAGTCTAGTTTACACATACCAAATTTTTTTGAGCATCTTATTCATTAAGTTTAGTTTACTATAAATCACTGGTGGACATTTTCCCATCCTACTTCTTGTTTTAGTAACTACGATGTATACTTTCATTAAATTCAAGACTAATGATTAAATTGTGAAGTCAGAAATTCCAACTTCTTCATTTTTCCATCTAAGAGTAAACCTTTCTTTCATCTCAATCTGCGCACTATATGGATGGAATTCCGGATATGCGTATATGTGCCGCACAACTTTGCCGGCTTCTCTGGTACTATTGGTCCATTGGAGTCAACTAATGTGGTTAACATGCTACACATTTGCTTATATAAAAGGGCCGCATATATTTGTAAACAGGATGATGGGTGAAGGTTAGATATGGTAGTTAAAATTCTACCGGTTTAAAATTAACAAAAAGCGTTATCTATTTTATTAAATAAAATAGAGGTTACTAACTTTAAGTGGCATATTTTTAAAGGTTATATATATAGCATTTTTTCCCAATTATTTTTTTGGGAGATTTCTCGGATTGAATAAAAGCAAAACTGAAACAATACAAGCTTAAAATTTAAATTTGCTGTTGTGGTCTAGTCCGGCCTGTTTAAATCTGGTCTGGTCGGTTTAAATCTGGTCTGGTCTGATCTAGTAAACATTTGGTCTCTGTGTGACTGTGTATTTTATAACTACGAAAGTCAAGTTTGGTCTGGTCTGGTCTATTTAAGTTTGGTCCGATTTGGTCTGGTCGGGTGGTCTGGTCTGATTTGGCCTGGTCTATTTAAGTCTGGTCTGGTCGGATGGTCTGGTCTGGTCAGGGACTAAAAACAGTCCAAGTGAAAACATCCTAACTCTTTCTATTCTACCATTTCTCTTGTCATTCTTAATAGGATTAATAAAATATAACATAAAAAAATCAAATAACAAAAACATAAAAACTAAATAAAAAATATACATGCCTCAATCACCACCTCAGCCACCTCCCAGGACCGCCACCTCTGGTTGCCGGAAAAGAATGCCAAGTTGAAAAATGTCACTGTGATGACAATTTTGAAAAGAAAGATGAATATTTTCAAAGAATAACAATGTCAATTTTACGACGACCGGAGCTAGTGGTGTTGGGATATAAATTACTTCCATTTTGGAATAAAAAAATTATAGTCCTACTGTTGCATTTGGGTCTATTTGTAGTCATATTTGGGGGGATAATTTAAATACCCAAAACTTTAAGGGGGAAATAATTAAAATACCCCGAACTTTAAATAAAATTTTGTTTTATTATCATAGTCAAGTAATATTTCTTTCAAAAATGTAAATTTATGATGTTAATTTCATAATTTAAAATATTTTAGAATTCATGTAGACAAAGTTAACATTTTAAACTCTCGTTGCGAAATAAATAATGTTATCCCAATCTATATAAATGCAACAATTTTAATTTGCTATATTAATTTAGGCTAAAGGGTCAAATAGATACATATACCCGCTCAGAATGCTAAATTGGCACCCTGAACTATAAAAAACTCCAATTCACCCCCTGAACTTGACAAAAAAGTTCAAATATCATTTGTTGCAGGTAAACGTCCGGTCACTGCCACGTCACCCAGTCAGATGCCAACCATGCATCCCACGTGGCAATTTAAGGGGTCAAATAGGCCCTTGAACCCCATAAATCAATTTTTTGTTTCCATAATACAAGTCTTTCTAAAGTGTTTTTCATTTAAAGTGATTTTGAGCTTATTTTCATAGTTTGGTCCTATTTGAAAAAAAATTCAACCGAGAAGGCAGTCAAATGATTTTTTGAAGATAACTGCGCAGTTAAACAGCGCAGTACATTTCGGAAAATCATTTGACTGCCTTCCCGATTTAATTTTTAGCTGAAATTTGATATGGGTAAACTAGACTTAATGAAGAAGATGCTCAAAACATTTCATCAACAAATTCCACCGGGAACCGCCCCAATTGGCGATGGCCGGGCATAACCGCCTATATAAGGGGCTAATTGAATACTTTAATTTAGTTCATGTACCTATTTGACCCTTTAGCCTAATTAATATGGTTTAAATCTTAGCTCTCAAGATTCAACTATAAATTAACTTAGAACTACGGAGTGATATTTAACCTAGAACGAAGAAGAAGAATATTGAAAATTTCTATTATATTCAACAATTTGAAGATATTCTTTTTTATATTTTTATATGAACTTATTAATTAAAGATGACATTTATCTCGTACGTCATCGTTTTGCTATACCTTTTCTTAGTTGTGTTGCATTGTTTGTGTATTTGTGAATTTTAGTACTACATATGCAATTTCTTGTATTTATATCAACATTTCATGTGAGTTGGTTGGTATGAAGATATCTACTAATTGCAAGACTTGTTCATATTTTTTAGCATGTGTTTGGCATTGTACCGTACCGTTTTGTACCGTTCCGAAACGGCATGGTACCGAACAGTTCCATCCTTGAAACCGGACCGTTAAAAACCTAATGGATACATTACAGGTTTTACTAGTTTACCGGACCGCGCCGGACCGCGCCCACCCCTAATATCCATGAGTATGAATGGACTGGAATAAAGATTCTTTACCTGCTGCAACAGGTCATCCCAAGTCATATGGGTCGAATTGATCATTTTTAGCGAGCAAGTATATCTATATGATGCTTATTTTTGTACAAGGTCTGAAAAAGTAAAAGGACTTATTTGACTCTTTTTGATGCTTATTTTTGTACAAGGTCTGAAAAAGTAAAAGGACTTATTTGACTCTTTTTGTATAGAAAAATGATAGTGATGAAAGGTGTTGGAGATGATGAAGATGAAAAAAGAAAAATTAGGTAAGAGGGGAGGGAACTGTATGGATGGAGCGGAGCAGAGAAAGAGGGAAAAGGAAGGAGACAAAAGTAAAATTAATGGTAAATTTCGATGGTTATATAGAGTTTGCCCCAAACATTTGTGTACTTCAATTGACTTCAGGCTTGAGTTCGGATAGGTAAAAACAATCCAAGCTCAGGCTCCAAGTAAAGCAGGCTCGACTCAAAGACGGATGGTATAAAAAATAAGAATCGACTGTGGCAGATTGGGGGTGTGCCCAAGATCCATATTTCATTTCGGAGCTCTACCGATTCCCTACCCGTCATCGCTCTCGGGCTTCTTCCCTCCATCGTGGAAGCCATTCCCAGCATAGGCAGATAAAGAGAAACAGAGAGAAGTGGGAGAGATAGAGGGATGTCTCTGACGAGTGTGAATATGACAGAGGAAGTGTGGCTGACTTGCCTTACCCATGCATTGTCCTCAGAGACCGAAGAAATCATGGGCCTTCTTCTAGGAGACATTCAGGTTCGCCATTTACCCCCCCCCCCCCCCCCCCCCCGTACCAAAACTGTTGCTATTTTAAGGGGTTTAGTATCCAGAAGGACCGAAACTCTGAACTTTTTTAACAATTATCTATGCCCCCACAGTGAAAACTTGAGATTGATTGAAGGTTTTTAGAATGCCTATTGACACCCCTTTGTGTGAGTGGAGAAAAATTTGAAGCAAATCTAGTTTTGTTCGATAGTGTGACGTTTGAAAACATTGAATAGTTGATAAACTGTTGTCATTTTAAAGCATATTTGTTAGTGAACTTTCTTTTCAATTCCCACATCTGGGGAGGGCCGGAGGGGTCTGCATTTCTACACAAATGTTTATGTGAAAGTTATGACTTTGTTTACTACATGTTTATGTAAATGTTAAAGAACCTAAAGTATTTTCTTATCGAGCTAGTTAAAACTTAAAAAGTAATTTTTTTTTATGTGGTAGTAGTCAAATGTAACATTTTCCATGTATTGCCTAAATGAACTCAGTTGCATTTGACTAGTTGGCTTGTTGCATGCCCCGCGTGAACTAGATTTTATGTTTACCCATGTGCCTGATGTTACATGATTACGGCTTTAGGGTGATTGGTTGATTATTACCAATGGTGTAATCAGGAAAATTTCTGGTATGGCTGGATAAAAACACAATTTCTACATATTAAATACAAGGCATTTGCTGAACTTGGGGTTGGCACGGATCCAACAGTCCCCCTACCTACACCACTGATTATCATGAATTTACAGATGTAGCATTGTACACCTTAATGTTTATGATGCATACGTGTAACATTACTACCGCTACTTTTATCAGCAATCCAATAGTGGGAGTGTGACGGCACTTATATGGGGAGCATTGCCACAACCACGTTCTGATCGCCGGAAGGATCGGGTAGAGACTAACCCTGAGCAGTTGACTGCTGCATCTGTACAAGCTGAGATATCCTTCCTGTTGTATGCGCACGTGCTGAAAATTTCTTTAGTTCACCAATCCTAAAATGGATTTTTGTTGTTGTACAGTGGTGTCATTGTAAGGGCGCACCCCTTACTGGTTGACTTCTTTTCTATGACTTGTGTCACTTAAATAATCATATTTGGTGTTTGGGCCGCACATCATCATCAACAATTAAATCCCATTTACAATGGGATGGTTGGCATGGAATTTATAGTGTCAATAAATTGTACAAAATTAGCTAATAGCCTAATACTATAAATTCATGCACAAAGCATTGTGGCAAAGTTTTATGCCAGGTGGCTTTTTCTGTTGCAATCTAAACAATAATGAAATAACATTTCAAAATATCATCGTCATCCTTTTCACTTACATGGAAACTGTCATTGTTGCTAGTCATGTGTCTTTGCTAAATTAATATTGCAAAATCAACATGCTCATCATGGAACATAATGAATTCGGTAAGTTTCACTAAATATAGAAAAATATTGAGCCGATGGTTCATCACGCTAACTAGCAATGTGATGTCGTCCACATGAGGAATATGCATTTTGTGATTGGTGGCATCAACTTTCCTGTCCCTCTGTTTAATTAACTCTGTAGCACAGAATGACTGTGGAAACAGGAAAAACAACAAGAGTGATTGGCTGGTACCACTCACATCCTCACATTACAGTCCTTCCTTCTCATGTTGGTAAGTTTTTAAGTAACTCATCAGCTCTTGGTTTGACTTGACACAGTGAAACATCTCGACTATATTGAATTCCATGTAAATTTTACTTTATCGTTCTTAGCAATAGCAAGAATTAGCTTTAATATCAAAGATTTGTGTTCTCTTTTCCATTTAATAATTTATTTTCACTGTATTGGAAGATTTTACAGTTTAGAAGTATGAATTTGGAAGTGTCGTCTATGTGGTGTACTGTTGTCTCAACTCTCAAATGTGAGGCTTCTAACGGTCTCTCAGTATTCAGAACTCATGGCTTTGAGTTCTTCACAGCAATGCATTAGAAGATTCCTTGAATTAGATGATGTTGTGCATAGTACTAAGGGTGCTCATAATTGGGGAGAGGCAGAGACTTAGGATCCCAACTTCTTTTAGGATGTTTTTACTTGGACTGTTTTCAGTCCCAAACCAGACCAGACCAGACGTGGACAATTATAGAATACACAAAGACCAGACGTTTACCAGAACAGACTAGAACAAACCAGAAAATCCCACTCCAAGTAAAAACATCCTTACCAGTGCAATGCTTTCGCACCTTGCAGGTTTGGTTGAATGTCTTGAGACTTATAATGACGGCTTCTCTTTGATATACTCTTGTGATATGGATGGAAAAATATCTCGGCTTCCAGCCCTTAGCAAGGAAGTGTCCTTCAGTGGCACCAAGCGCACAAGAAGAATTATTACTTCAAAAGTTTGATGATTTAATTAATGAATAGAGTGCCTCTATTTATACTAGTCCCAACTCCCAAGAGTGTTGGAGGCCCAGTATTAGAGTAACCCTAAACATATCACAATACTTCTTTCTTCTATATATTACTCCTCTCTTGAACATCAAACTTATCCTCATGCTTGAAGGGAGTAACCCATGATGCCGATCTTTTCCACGATCAAATGTAATCTCTGTAAAATCAATAGTCACCATGTGATTTGTGGGCACACAAATGTGAGTGAAGGGCCAAAGCCCCAGTAGCTGACCAGATCTGTTAAAACGCAGCCCTGCTAGAAGGTCAACAACAAGTCGTCTGAAACGTTAGATTCCGTACTTGAAATAGTTTCTGAATCGTAATGAGCACAATCAAGAAGAGATAAGAGGGAAAAGAATGAACTTGATAGGGAAGCTCAAAATCATGCCTCATGTAATGCAGCCTTGAAACTAAGTGAGTGTACAGAAAGTGTGTTTCTACTTTTGTGCTGTTGGTTGGCTCTAAACTGCTTGCTTGCGGCTAGGATTGTCCGGCAGAAGTATATGGTCCCGCATCTCTGGACCCCCCCCCCCAAACGTAGAATCTGGGCAGAAAAGAAAGTACTCCCTCCGTCCCAATTTGTAAGATACATTACATTTTACGATGTTTGACTGACGATAAAGCAAATTGATCCCTGTCAACTCTGAATTTAGTTCTAGAAAATAAAATATACGTATTCAGAAACTACATTAAAACCGCTACAAAGCCTGCAAAAAGTAATTCAAATTTCATAAACTTTTGATATATAAAGTAAAAGATTAAGAGTAATTTATGTTGACCAAGTGAATAGTAAATGTATCTTACAATTTGGGACTGAGGGAGTAATAATAAATAATAGAAAGAGTAGGGGAAAAGATGGAGGCAGGAAGGAAATGGTCAAATGGCTTTGATATCAAGTTGCTACAGTGTGGTTGGGAGATGAAAGGAAGAAGATTGAAAAACTATGTTGTTGGAAAAATAAGTTAGCTTCCCACCCCAATCAAGGAAGTGGTGTCGGTTCCACTGAGCGCACAAGAAGAATTGTTACTCCAAAAAATTGGTGATATTATTAAAGAATAGAGCACCTCTATTTTTATTAGTCCCAGGAGTGTTGGAGACCTAGTATTCTAAACCTGTTACAATACTTATTTTAGGAATCCTTATACTTCACTCGCGTGCAACGCACGAGTGGAGTAACTAGTATTAACTAAAATGCAATACCGATACTAATATGAAAACTAATAAGTAATAATAATAATAAAAACAAATATAAGATAATAATAATAATATTAATAATATGCTTCTTCCGTCCATATCATCTTGATATACTCCCTCTGTCCTCGAAAGAAGTTCCCACTTTCCTTATTTGGATGTCCCTAATTTAAGTTTCCATTTCCTTAAATGGAAAGTTATCTACATCAAAACAGTGCCAAATAGCGCAAAACAGCGTCAAACAGTGCCAAACAGTGTCGAAACCGTGTCAAAACAGTAAAATTTACCCCCTGGTAAGTTTACTTGCATAAAAGTGTGTGAAAGTCAAATGGGGAACTTCTTTCGGGGACGGAGGGACGAGGGAGTATGTAACACTCTAAAGTGATTCTCACAGTTTACATTCTACATTTCTACCATATATCCGAGTCTCAAGGACACACTTTTGGAAAGACGAAATCAGCTTTACTTTTTGTTAGCATCATGTCATACTCTGAATCGTTTTGGCAATTTCAAAGCCTAAAAGTTTGTGTAAACGCCCAATCCGTCTCATCTAGATATGGACCATAAGAACCTATGTGATTGGGACATTTGGGAAGTGTGAATTGTTTATGTTGGTTGTGCTTGAAATAAGGAAATTGTATTCTCTTTAGTTAAAAACTTGTAGTGTGGATATTGCCATTCATAGTATGTTGTCATTCTATTGTTCCTCTAAAGAAAGTAGTGAACATACATATTAATCTCTTTACCATTTTGTGTCTGACAAAATTAATGCAGATGTCCGCACTCAAGCAATGTACCAACTTCTGGATTCTGGATTTATTGGATTGATATTTTCGTGTTTTAGTGAAGATGCACAGAAGGTTTGTGTTATGTGTACATCTATGGCATATAGAAAGAAGTTAAGAATGTAATTGCAGACTGAGTATGATTTTTCTCTTTAACTGCTTTTTAGGTCGGAAGAATTCAGGTTATTGCATTTCAGTCCATGGTTGGAAAGCAAAGTCATGTTTTAAAACCAGTTCCTCTTGCCCCTGTACATAAAAGTTCCATAATCGATCTTGAATCATCACTAAGTTCTTCAGAGACATCAGCAAGAACTTCTATTAGAGGAGAGAATCTTGAGCAAGACACAGGTGATTCAAGGGCAATTACTTTACCTTCTAAGGTAACTTTGTTGGTATTTTGTTGGGGCGAGCATTTTTTCTCTTTTTCTTTTTTCATAAATATCTGTCATTTACTTCGGATTTAGCGGGCAAAGTAAGACTTAGCCTCTGGAGTTTGCTTCAATATGCAACTTGCTAGAGAGTTAGTTTAATCATTGTTTATAAATCCAGTAATGTCTTTGGACCACCCACTTTCTTTAATTCAAACAACTATAAGCAAGCAAGAGACTATGGGAGCCCGGCTTTGAAAATATTACTAAAAATAGTGATGTTTGACAAGTGTGCACCTTTTCAATTTTGACGAGGTATAACTCTTAATTAGTATCGAGAGGAAGCGGTCCAGCTCAGCTGGTCACCAACTCACTCTCCCTTATGGGAGGTCCCGAGTTTAATACTCCATGGAGGGAGTTTATTTGTTTGTTTATAGCTATATTAATTTTTTATGGGACTGATATTGGGAAATTACTTGAAAATTAGCTAACTTTGTTTAAACATGACATTTTTTTGGGAATAAGAAGTTTTTAAATGGGACTCTTTTTAGGACAACTGGTTTCATTGACATTGCAGCATTGGGTACTGTCTGCAGCATGGACATATAGAATCATAAATCATGACACAAAACCTGAGAAACAGTATTTTTTCCAAAAAATATGCGACTGAACTCTAGGTTAACCTGTAAATGCTTAAAAGTATACTATTATAGGAGTATATATGCAAAAAATACTAATAATATGCATTGTTCGTATAAGCTTTAGAATAAACATTATGATGTCCAACTGATAAATAACAAATTACAGAATCACAATTAGTTGCTGATTGATTTTTTTTTTTTTGTAGTTTAGCCTTTATGGGTCATCCGGAAACAGTCTCCTGTGCTTTAGTACAGGGGTAAGACTGTGTACATCCGACCCCCCTTACCCCACCGTAGGTAAATGAAAATGAAAATGAAAATGAAAATGATTTGTAGTTTAGGCTCTACCCCACATGTTTCCTACTATGAAATGGATTGTGATTATTTTCCATGTACAAAATGGTAGAAACAGCACTGGAACATTCTTGGAAGGTTTTGTAGAGTTATGACACCGAAATGGGAAAATACTTCCTCCTGATACTCTGATAGTTTCTGTAAATTTTAAGGGGAGTGTTTTTTTCTGTTGCTGACTTTCTGTTATTGTTTCCACTTTTCTGCCCCTTCTTAATTTTGATAAACTCATTTGATTGGTGATCTTGAGATGGTCTATTTCTTTCATTTGATTAATGTGTTTTTCTCATATCTAATTTGATAGGCATTGTTAAAAACCTCAGACTTGGGGGGTTTCTTTGCCAATATTGATGCCAAGACAGGAGAAAACTTTCATATTAGCCCTCCCACTGATGCAACTAGTGAGATAGATCACATGGATATGTCGGAAAGTATGCAAGAAGCAATGCACCTGTCAAATATGGAGATGAGGTCAGTTTGGTTGAAGGTTTTGGAGGGTTTTAGAGGGGAGGCTTTGGAGGACTTAGTCTAGGTCTTGAAAGGTGCTTCATGCCAATTATACACTTCATCCAAAAAGAACTGTAGATTATAAATTCAATGCTTCATGCCTTATCTTTATTTGCTGGTATCCTGGTATTTCCATCTTGTTGTTTATTACTGCCTTGAACCATATATTCATATTTCATAATTGTTCTTTGAGAGTTTGAGTCCTGGGGGAGGGGTTTCCTTCTCATCATGTGGCATTGTAGCAGCTAAAAATGTTGTTTATACTGCAATTTATGAAAGCAAAACTACTTAATTCTTTGGACTTTGGAGCGTTGTTTTTACTTGTTTAGTATGAACATTTTGTCACAAGAAATATGATTTTGTAAAAGGCAATGTGCAATTTGATTTTAAGTATTTGTATATTGTATTATATCCACCCAGGCCTCTTTTGTATTCATCCGCATTTTACTTTGTTTGATTCTATCACATCTGAAACCAACTATCCTGTAGGATTCATTTATATTAACATGTATTTTCTTTTTGGGTGCCTGGCAGTGGTGCAGAGTTTGTCAGGAAGGAAATCCCTCTTCTTGTTTTGCCATCACCATCACTTCTTAATATTGACACACCTTTGAGTTCTTTCACCAATCTGCAACATGTACTATATGAAGAGGAACGAAGTGCATATAATCATGCAGTTACACAAAACTTGAGGTGCCACATTTAACGTGTTGCTAATCTCTCTCTCTCTCTGCTGTGGTCAATACTATCTGTTGCTTTTGAATCTTTTCATTGTCAAAGTAATCATTTTCAGGGATGGGAAAGTGCATCCTCTAACTTATATCCACCATACTTCCACATATCAGGCTTCCATGTGCAAATTGATAGAATATTGGTGAGGACATTTTACTCTTTTGACTTCTTGGCGCTCACTGTTGTGTTATTGTTGACTGGTTTTAGTTTGAAACAGCTTAAGCCCCGCCATTAGTGCACTCCAGGATCGGTTGAGAGAAAATGAAATTCAGGTATGATTTTCATTGTTCATTTTTATGCTCCCCTGTTCGAAAATTAATCCCATTCCATAACCAAAACATGTAAAACATTGATTCTTTACACGACATAGTGGTGTTAGGGATCATTTCTATTAAATGGCTGATGTGGTACTTTGTTTCTTCTCGAGGCAGCTAAATATGTTAGATGATGAAGCCAAGGTGCTGGAGTCAGAGACTAAAAGAGCAGAAGAGCCATCAGATTCACCTCGTAGGGGAGGTAGCCCTTTGTCAGGCCACAAGGATTTGTACCCTCCTCCTGCTGATTTAAGCAACACCCGAACTAGTTCCGGGAACAGGGGCAGAAAAGGATCTTGATCATGCTCAAAGATTAGTCTCTAAGTGAAAATATATCGATAGTCCCCTTAGATCATCTTGTAGTGCTTCCCTTGGATTGTAATTTTTGGATAAAATGATAAAATTGCATTTTTTGAAGGAAAAAACTTATTAAGGCATTCTTTATTTGGCTATTGTTTTAGCTTTTTTTAATATTAATCCAATTTTTTCAAAAAATATATCAAGTTTTTTCTTCATTTTTTTTTATCTGTCAGCACACATATGGTGTCGCTATTGCATATGAAATATTTAGCTAAAAATGAAAATTTAGAAAAAAAGTTTTTTTTTTTTCAATTTTGTAATAAACAATATTGATACCATTGGAAAGATCTTAAAAATTATTATGTTTGATATTTTTTTATATAAAAATTGGATAATGAATAAAAAAATTATAACACTTTAAATGAAAAATGAAATGAGATGCCACATGACAAGGAGAACGGCCGAACCGGGTAATCTTCACCCTCCTTGAAGGGGTGAACAAAATTACTCTCGCTATGAACTATTATTCCGAAATGGCGAATGCTGCCATGATAGACAAGTATTGTGCTATGTGCAAGAACCACGCTTGGTCTCTTATTCCTCCCCCATTACAATATAATATTTGGTGTAAATTGATTTGGTGTATCGGGCAAGCCAGCAAACGTAGCTCGGTATAGCGCAAGTCTTGCTGCTAAGAGATTTAATAGAAGTCCATGGATCATTAAAAAAAAGGAAGTCCAAGGATTGATATCGTAGATACATTTTACACATAAGATCTTCCCCATGTAAGATGTCTTGAGTTCAAGTCACCGTGGAGGTGAATTTGAGATAATTTTCTCAAATGATCATCTAACCCCAGTGCTACCTCGAGTGAGTAGTGCATCATTGTTTTGTCTCGCCTCAAGCAACAGTATGAGAATCAACACCTTGCTAGGAAGGTGATGGTGTTTGACCAAGTAGTGACGATTCTCCTATAAGCTGTGTGGGAACTTGATGGCACATGAAATCAATCAGTTAAGAATGACTTTTTGATGACGGACTGTTCAAGCAGTTTAGATTACATCTCTCAAAGATTTGAAGTGGATTCTTGGGAGCCCAGAATTAGCCCAACGAAGATAGCATTGCTTGGATGCTAACAAAAAAGAAGATAAATCGTCACCAACGTAACTTTTTCTATGCATTGCTTGGAGGAACATGATAGCAATTAGCATATACATTACTTTAACTTAATTACTTGTGTTTATCCTTTAGAATGTTATATTTGTACAGTTGTACTACACGTCTGTGGTCTACCTCTCTTGTTTTTTTTTGTCTACCTCTCTTGTAATCTTGTCTTCCATCTCCTGTAACTAAGTCGCCTAATTGTCCTCCTTTAATTCGCATGTAAATATCTGGCATTGCCATCCTACTATTCTTTCGAGTTTTTTTCCGGATTAATGTGAATTAATTAATTAATTACGGAATTAATGTTGGATTAAAACTATTTACCAATAGACTGCTGGGCTTAACCCTGATCGGGGAAAGTCGCCAAACTGTTTGGCGACTCTTTAAATAATACAGAGAAGTGCGTACAAGGGAAGCAGGATTAGCTGGGAGACTAACACATGGAACAGGTGGAGCCAATTTAGAAGAAATCCACTTTTTTCTTTAAATGGCTATAACTTTCATATTTTTCTTCCATCATTTTTAAAACATATACCAAATTTTATAACTTTTTGTGATCTTTCATATGACACCAATATGTAATATATAAAGTTTAAAAAAAATCTGAAGACATATGGGGTGAAAAACTAATTGCAATTATGCACCGTCAATAAATTTAATTCTCAACCAGTTTAAATCAAAATTATGTATTCACCCTGTCAATTCAATTTTTCAATATATTTATCCAATATAGTTTTTAGTTAAATTCTTACACTTTTTAATCTACATCAACTTTTAACCAAAAAAAATTTACGAAAATCTGAGGATTCGATCACATACAGTTTTAAAAAATGTCTATATTTTTGGTGTAAAAAATTCTGTGTATTTTTTTTAAAATATTCTTTGTACCGGCCCAGTGCACTGGCTCTGTCCCTGCGTATAATGATCTCATTTTCAGTTATAACAAAGAGTGTCTAAAGTGCAAATTAGGAATTTAAGAATAGAGCGTAAAGAACTGTATGTGATTAATCCTCAGATTTTCGTAAAATTTTTTTGGTTAAAAGTTGATGTAGATTAAAAAGTGTAAGAATTTAACTAAAAACTATATTGAGTAAATATATTGAAAAATTGAATTGACAGGGTAAATACATAATTTTGGTTTAAACTTTAAACTGGTTGAGAATTAAATTTATTGACGGTGCAAAATTGCAATTAGTTTTTCACCCCATATGTCTTCAGATTTTTTTTTAAACTTTATATATTACATATTGGTATCATAAGAAAGATCACAAAAAGTTATAAAATTTGGTATATGTTTTAAAAAAATGGAAGAAAAATATGAAAGTTATAGCCATTTAAAGAAAAAAGTGGATTTCTTCTAAATTGGCTCCACCTCTTCCATGTGTTAGTCTCCCAATGAATCCTGCTTCCCTTGTACGCACTTCTCCGTATTATTTAAAGAGTCGCCAAACGGTTTAACGACTTTCCCCGACCAAGGTTAAGCCCAACAGTATATTGATAAATAGTTTTAACCCAACATTAATTCCGTAATTAATTAATTAATTCACATTAATCCGGAAAAAAAACTCCTATTCTTTCATAAGCAACTATTTGAAATATTTCACCATTTCAATAAGAGCTCAGTGAATTCAATAATTTTAGTTGTTTTAGATATCGTATGCTTTTGAATAGGCTGTCAATAAAAACGTGTTTTTGTAAGTCGACTATAACGTAGGGTTTTATATTCATGTATTTATACTCTAAGTAGCATGGAAACTCTTACGGAAGACTGAAAAGCACATTCTCGTTCAGAAAGTTTTTTGGAAACTCTCCAGACAAGCGTTTTTGAGCAAAAGTTGATGTTTCCTGTTTCATATTCACGTTTCCATGCAATTTAGTTTATACACCCGTAACTTCTGATTCCGACCCAAATTTCTATTTTCATGAGCACGACCTGTAGTCTTATCCTTTTTTTTTTAACTTGAAACCAGCCAACCAGGGGCTATAAAAAAGGCTAGACAACAAATAAGATTCTGAGCGAGGAATCATGAAATGGAATAGTTTAAAAGTTACTCGCACGGGTAGCTCAGTTGGTTGAGTGATGGGATATTGGATCAAGGAATCCTAACTCAAGTCCCTGCAGTGACCGTGTAGAGGCCACAACCTCTAAATGGGCTAGACCTCTAGCGCGCACGGACATATGGGCCTACTGCCACTCCGCCGACCGAGTCACCGTGATTTACATCTTCCCATCTGCCCTGTCGGGTCGGGGCGTGGGGGGCTCTGGGGGTGGGAGATTCCACCTTTTGGATCAAGAATAGGTTAAAAGTTAAACCATTGTCAGAAAGAAGGTCAAGGTCCTGAAGGTTTGTTGAGTAGGCCAGATTTTATGTACTCCCTGTCCCCAAAAATACGTCCCAGTTTGACTTAACATGCTTATTAAGAAAATGAGAATGAAGTTGGTTGAATAAAAAAAAAGGTGAATGAATATCAGCCACACAAAACTTCAAAAAAGAAAAATAAGAATTCTTTGGAATATCCCAAAATGATAATGGGAAGAATTTCGTGGGACGAAGGGAGTAATTTTTGACAATGCCTAAAAGTATAACTATTGCTTTTGACACTGATATTTTGGTCATACATTTATTGTACTTTGTGAAATAGGACTAGATTTTTGTCACTTAATGTTTTGACATTATTCTGTCAAATTCCACAAAATTTCCGACTGATTTTCACTGGATAAGCATCTCAGAAGGATCAAAATTAAAAAACAAATACGTAGTAGAAAATAATGAACCAAAACTGAATGCCCAGAATAAAGGATAATGACTGATGGTCAAAAGTAGAAACATTTTCTTCCAACTTTGCTCATATCAAACAGTACAAACTTTTAGTCGTGCACAAAATTGGGAGGAAATGTAAAAAAAAAAAAACATTTATGTAACAGTATGCCTCACAGTGATATGATCTAAGACACTTTGGATAGTTAGAAACAAATTTTCGTGGAAGGTTTTTATAATGTCCATGATGCACATTGGCTGAATCCTGGCATATTAATCTTAACTGATTGAGTTGCACAATGACTTGCCAACTTAGATCGACCTAAAATTACTTATGCTTAATTCTTCCATATGGGAGTCATGAACTTCATTTTGACTGGAAGCATTTTATTATGTACTTAAAATAATGCAACTGTATCTTTTCCAAGCAACCAAATTTTTTTTGGAACTTATGTGGCGAAATTGGTGGAGATCACACCCCTTGGATTCAGATCTGATGACAAGCCATCGTTCACGTACTACTTTAATTGTAGTCTTACAATACTTCCTCCGCCATGAAAATGGTCATGTTTCAAGAGTTCTATTGTCATAAAAGAATCATGTATTTGATACATAAAGACAACTTTTTAAGATAACTGCCAAAATTGATTAACGAACAAGAATAATGATTTTTAATGAATATACATATATAGTCAAGGTAACAAAGAGAAATACAATATGTTACTGCTAAACATTCATTACCAGGTAGGCGGTGAGGTTCCTTCACAATCTTTAGAGATACTTTCTAGCAAGAGCTCTGACCTTTGTATCGAAATGAGATGATGTAATTCGAGAGCCAGGTAAGTAGAGGGGATTAAGAAGAGACTGCAAATTCAAATTTAAAGCTTGGTCAACTTCTTGTTGTCTGTATCTAGAGGCTGGCCCAGGTCCGATTCTGGAGCTAAGCATGTAAAAATAAATAGGAAACACGTTTTTTTGTTCTGTACCAGAACAAGTACCCAAAACCGGTCCAAACTGGTTCCGGTTATGTTTTTTAAAATTTTAGAAATAGGCTAAAAACCTGGAACAAGAATCGATCATAACATGAACCACTATATACACAGTCAAGCATCCGGTCCCCCCATTACTTAACCCAGAACAGGCCTAGGTCCACCCGCTATATGTATCACAGTAATAAAAAAGAAGTGCAGTAGCAAGAACCTTTCATGTAATAAAAGGTAGAAATTATATACTGGAAAAGACACTAGTATTCTAGAAATGTGCCATTAATGTCCAATTCCAAATACAGTTAAATTTTTCAAATGAAACCCTATTAAGAAGTAGAAATAACAAACCTTTATATAAAGCTCGTGAACTTCTTGGAAGAAGCTTTTGATTCCATCATCATTGCGAGAATCGTGAAGCAGCATCAGCCGGGTATGTTTGGCCAAATAGTCAAAGAAAACTATACATATTTTCCAAGAAAAATCTAAGAAATAAATCAAGATGCTAGCAATTTTAGTTTGGTTATTGAAGTTGACTTATCACTTATGAATTTGGTGTTTCACTTTTCTACATCATGACTTTGGTTTTGCATTTAATAGTACTAGTATAATGGATTATGCGAGGTCAATGGTTGTTATGTTTGTATCATTTGTGTGCATATATTTTAATTACATATTGAATATATCATGTTTGATATATCTAAGTATATATACTAGTAATCTTTTCAAAATTGTGCGCCTTGCATGAATCAGGCGTGTGCTTTTTTGTGCTCTGCACCTCTGGCTATATAGGCCATTAACACGCTTTAAGAACTAAAGACTGATGACAGGAGAAGACTTGGTCTTCATAAATTGATGAAAAGAAAGTAGTCAAAGTAGTGATGCGCACTCAAGGTGCTAGAGCATTCTATTGCATGAGAAGCAAAACACTTAAAAGCACTCACCTTAGGTTGAGGCACAAAGCATTCAAAATGTGCTTGCCTTACTATCCAGAATTATTGAGCACAATATATTTGAAATAATTTGAAATAAATGCATAAAGAATGACACAAGCATAGAGATCTATATACTTTTATAATCCATTTTTATAAACACTTCCAAAAATGACATACAAACAAATTAAACTCTTCAATTTCTACATTTATTTCCTCATCTACAAGTCTAAGAGAAGGGTTTGTACTAGGAGATGTGGATTGCTAATATTTGGATGGCCTCATTTAAAAAGATAAATAAGCTGTAAAGCCTTACCCCGCCTAGGCACCACAGGCATGCGCCTATGCACTTCTTGTGCTTTATTTGTGCCTGGACACCCTCGAAGTGCTTAACCTATTTAGCGCCTCATCTTGTGTGCTTAAGCGCTTGGTTTTGTCTACCGTGATTGAGAATGGAATTAGATTGGTTTGAAGTGTGGGTATCATCAGAGTTTGGAATTGGATACAAGAAAAATAAGCTAAAATGAGACGGTTGGCTTAAGAGGAAAAAGAATTACAGATAACTCATTACTACTTGGTGAACTTTAGGATACACTAGTAGAAAATGTGATGATATAGCAAAATATTTTACTGGCATTTACCTAAAGAACCTACATGGACAACATCAATAGATAGTTTTGCAGATATAAAACCCCATAGCTTATGTAGTACAGTAACTTAACAGTCAAAATTATATATTTGTCAAACACTCCAATGAATTAGAAGATATGAAGGATATGGCCCGCGGTGACATATACTGAAACAGCTAAATCATTGAACCGGTCAATTGCCTTCAGGAACCTGAAATAATGGTAAAAAAGAGGTGTAGGAAGAACACCAAAATGCCTTAATGCATATAAACCATACACAGAGAGGGTTTAAAGAATTGGAATCTAACATTGCACTGGTAGTCCACGCCATATCCTGAACAATGTCCAGTGCTGCATGTAATATGAACTGGTGTTGATGAGCAGCATCCTCTTTCTAACAAATAAATTTGAAGGAAAATAAGTTAACAAAGTAATTAATTTCTGCATGCTTGTCTAAATAAAAATGGACTCTTGTTACTGGGAAATATGTTCAAGCTCAGAATGCAGAGGATAGACCAAAAACATTGCCCTCAAATAGAGGGATCCAAGCAAAAAATAATAAGTCTAACTTGAAGTAAATGGATTAGAGCATGTGTGATGTGTTACCCTCACTTGATACCAGGAAGTACTATAGTAAGATCAAAATTATTTTTTATACCGTTTTGTGCTTTCTTAGAACAAATGCATCCCCTAACTGGCCAACAGACCTCCTAATTGCCAAGCTAAATGATTTGTTTTCAATGCTCACATTTGAAATTCATTAAATGATAAATTTATCCATAATATCAATATATGTTACGTTACTTACATAGTACTCTGTATATATTAGCTTCTTACTTTGAAATTTTACATATTATGTTCCATTTTAAAGCTGATTTGATCCCCAGCCACATTACCGGCTAATTTAGCTAGTGATAGGCTATCTGAGGAATTTGAAGTGTTCTCTTTTCTTGTACAAAATATACGGCACTTTGGACCAAAAAAATCACTACATTTTCTCCTACTCAGAGAAGAAAGAAGATTCAGAACACTGCAGTAAAATTCAAAGCACCACAACAAAATATAACCTTCTGAAAGTGTCAATTCCAACCCTTTAATTTTTTATCCTGTATAGAGATAAAAAATACGTACTTGTGCAGCTCCAACTTCGGCTTCATAGATGGGAATGTCATTCCTACTGACGATCATAAAACAAGAAGTACTCGCCATCCAGATGCAGATCTAGCATAGCAATCCAGTCAGGGACAAAATGTAATAATCACAAATAACTTTGATACTAAATGTGAAAAATTGGTCATTTCGCCTAATTACCTTGTCACATTAATCAACAATGTAAACACAACTAATCACCTTGTCACATTAATCTTACTCTCACACAAAAATGTGAGAATAAAAATCACATATTTTTACATTAATACCAAATATAATTGTAAAATTGGTCACATTTTAGCAAAAAAAAAAACAGTAATACTTTATACTCTCCACTGTAAATTGAATACCTGAAAAAAAGTGATAATCTGCGGTTGGAAGCATTCTAAATTATTCTAATTACTGGTAAGTTGCTGGATCTTCCAGGGTTTGAAACCCTTAAAGAAAAAACAGGTTGCAAGTTTTAGGGAGCAATCGGAATGTGAACCAGATTGTAGGTCTTAGGCAGCATTCGAAATTGGAACTCAAAAAACAGGTTGTAGATGACAAGATTCATAGCAGAAAACACCCTAAAATTCTGGATATAAAGCTGAAATGAAAAAAATAACAAAATAAAACTGTAACTAAAAAGAACCCGAAATCGGAAGACCAAAGCTTTACTGATTGCACACTCGGTGTATTAGGGCTGCGTAAGTGCGTGATCCACTCGGAGTGACAGATAACCACAAGAGGAAGCCGATGGGCGATCGGAATGTGGAATCGCCTAAGGTCTGCGACTTGGGATGTTTCAGTACAAGCGTCTGTCAAACAAGCTAGATAAGTACAATTAAAACATCATTCACTCAAGAGAAAAATGCCAAATGATGTCATTTTTATGACAAATAAATATAAATACTCGAATATAAAAAACAAGATTGTTTTTTAGTTTTGATTTTTCATTTTCTTCTCATATTTTAGATTTTCAATTGTAAAATGGGAAAATTTTACAAATAGGACCAATGACTCATCCGATTTCCTAAAATAGGATAGCCGGAACTTCTAAGACCTTAATTAAGATGCAATGACAAAAATAACCTCAATTAGACCATTTGGAGTGGTGTGAGAGTCTAAATGTTAAAAATGGACTCCGTCGATATGAAAATGGGATTTTTTCACAAATAGCCAAAAACGGGAAAACTATATCACTTTTGTCATTCTACGGAATTCTTTTCAAAACTAGACTAGCTAAACGCTTCGTTTCAAAAATAGACTATGTATACGGAAGCAACCCACTGGAACAAATATTTCAAATAAGGTGCCGTTAGCAGTAGCCTGCCTTTATACACTTCATACACCCACTGTGTTACATTTGTATAATTCCATTATTCCAAAAATCACTCAATTCACGTTTTTATATTGAAAATACGAATTGTTTAATAAAGTGTAAAAAAGATGAATAAAATTAGAAATAATAAATGTATTAAAAATAAGATAAAATTAAGAAAATAATAAAAACAATCAAATTAAGAAATCAAATAGTTTATAATAAATAATTTAGGTTTAAAACTTGTAAGTTAAATTATAAAAGGAATTTAAATTTAAAAAATGTGACGAAAATAGTTCAGAAAGTAGAAAAATTGTAGAAAGTAACAATTTTTTGCAATTTTAACTTTGAGAAGACTTTATATGACCCTTAATTTTTATAAAAAGTATGAAAAATAAATAATATAAATAATTGTTTTTTAAGAAACAAAAATAAAATATATAATAAACAATTAAAAAATAAAAACTTTCTAAAAAATTGAAAAATTAATAGTAATCTCTAATAGAATCTTAAAAAGTAATGAAAAATATAACAATGGTTTTGAAAATATTAAAAATTATCCTAGGCAATTAGAAGCTTTTATGAAATTATTTTAGAAACCGAAACATATACTCCGTAAAGAGCGGAAAATTCTAAATTCATTAAATAAACATATAGATTTGAAAAGGTTAAAAAATCATGTTAAATAACACAAAATCAAATGGAATTAGAAAAGTATTTAAAAATTTAAAAAAATGAAAATATAAGTAAACTAAAAAACATGAAAAACATATACTAGTAACTCGCAAGTAAAAAATGTGTAAAATAATAAATAATAAAAACCAACATTGAAACAATTAAAAATATTTAAAAACATGAATCTTGTAATTCATTTTAAAAAAATTGTAACAAAATTAAATAATACTTATTATATACCTTTGTTGTTTTTTGTTGCTTATTGTTTATTTTTGTTTCCTTTTATGTTTCCTTTTGTTTCCTTTTGTTAATTCCTTTTATTGATTATTCATAAATCCAAATTTATCAGTTTATATGATCGAATTTAAATCCGTATATGATTTTTTTACTTGAAAAAAGTAGCAAAGATAAAGAAAAATCAAAATAAACAACAAAATCATGATCAACTATAAAAAAAAATAAGTAACAGAGTGCAACAAAAAGCAACACGGTGCAACAAAAAGTAACAAGATGCAACAAAAAACAACACATTTAATACAACAAAAAGCAACAAAAATAATACTGAGTATATAAAAGTATCACTACAAAAAACACAGAGCAACAAAATGCGACACTATGCAACAAAGAGCAACAAAAAAACATTATTAAAGTATCACATTTTTAATGTGTATCTTCACATTCAAGATGAGGACTATCCTTATATAACAATGTTATATAACAATATTAGAAAAACACCAATAAATTTTTTTTTTAGTATATTTACATTTACATAGGGGTGAACAAAAAATCAAAACTGATCCGGTGACGCTTCCTTCCCAGTAAAGCAATTATGCCAGCTAGTTGCTGGTGCACATACTGACCCGCTGTTGCGGTTATATCTCCTCCTCCATACTTGGACTTTGACTGAAGATTATGCATCGTTCTTTCTGTTGAAGGAAGAGCCCATCTTCCCCTGACTCCCACCTTGTTCACCCCGCCATTGCTTCCAACTCCTATATATATATACAAACATAGACACTGGATGCATAACAATAAACAGATCACTAGACACCTTTTCATCTCACTAGAATGAAAAGCGAAAATTTATAGTAGCGTGTTCAACACATACCTCTTGCTCTCCCCCAACCCCCACAAAAAAAAAATCATGTTTGAAGCTTAAATTACAAGTTTGCATCCTAAGGTATATGGACTCGAGAAGAAACATTGTAAATGTGGAGGATAAAACTAATCTTGTGAGTTTAATATTACAACATGAAGATATTGAGCACAACCGGCACACCCCCTTCTAGTCATTTCATACACTAATCAATCGAAAACAGTAGATGGTCCAAAGACTACACTGCAATGTGATTTTCAACTTCATTGAGAGCAATTAAGAAGAACCATTTTCTTATATAGCATATTCTTTTATTCTGATTCTAAATATAAAGATGAAACGAAATCAAAATTAATCAAATATCCCTTCCACTGAAGAATACTAGTCAGCTCTACGAAAAATCCAAAATAATGATGTCACCACGCAAGAAAAAACAGCCGTTATATGAGCAACGAACTCACTCACCTATAGCATTTTCGTCATCTAACCCCTCCCCAATCCAACCAGGAAGATGCAGTTTAGCCTTCCCCCCTGCTTTCTTGTTCTCAAATATCTTCTCAGCTTTTTCCTTTTCAATTGCAGCAATCCTAAGCCCCTAAGCCTAGCAGCGCCATTTATCTCATTCATAGCCCCCTTCACATGAGTACTAGGAGCAAAATCCCCTAAATAAACAGCAAATCATGCATGTCCAAACTTATCCAGAATATCATTTAGCATAGAGTTAACAACCAATGTAAATTGAAGAGGCAGCACATCCTAAGAAATTGAATTATTATTGTTCAATTGGTGCAAGGTACCATAAATAAAAATTTACAAGAAAATGAATCAATGCTGCAAATATAATAAAGTAGGAAACAGAAACATATTCAAGAAACCAAACATGTGTTGTTTTTTCAGTTAAGGACATGGATTGAAACTCAATCTAAAAAATGAAGAAGATGTCACTTGAACGAACCAAAACTGATTCAAAGCAATCTTAAATATGTACATACATGGATGTCCTAGAGATGAAAGGTTAGTTACCACTTACCTTGCACTTTTTATCCTTGAACTCAGATTGGTCTTTTTTTTGGAACAATCAAACACCAAAGACTTCAAACATGAACACAAATGGATACAATCCCTATTCCTAGCCAGTTTTAGACATGTAAAAGCCATGTAAGACCAGAAATTGACCAGCAGGAGTAGGAGCAGATTAAAAAAATTCAAAATATATTTGGCCGTGATGGCCATGAGTAGGGACAACTAAAGAACAATCACAATATATGTATCTGAATAACATTTTGTTGAGCATAATATACATTAGACAAGGAAACAGAGAAGGAAGATGATTAAGGTATACAAAGACCAATCAGTCAAAGCTCCTGAAACATGTCCATTCTCACGAACATATGCTCACACAACCTGCTCACCATATTCATGGAAGCGGAAATACCTTCTCCAGCAAAACGCATAAACACACCGAAGCCTTCGCATTCTGTTCCCAGCCAGGAGATCATCGGATAGATCGTCTGGCTGATTGAGGAAGCTGAGATGAAGAATTCGAACATAGATCCATCGGTTACGCCCAATCTCAGCCACGGAATCCCTAAGTCGGAATTCGGAAGTCTTTCTCCACTCTCCAGCCCCTTAGATGGCTATCACAGTTTCACAGACACGCATACACCTTGATGAGAAACGACGTTCTATATTAGAAATAAAAAAACAAAATTGAAAACAGGGAAGTCCAAAGATGAAAAGAAAAAAGAATGGGGACATAAATGATATGTGCAAGAGAGAAGTGGATCATTCGGGTAATTTCCACATATGAAAATAGTGTTTTGACTCTTATTTCTCTGCATTCCAGTACCGTCAATAAAATACACTACGCATTTTTTACATATCAGTTTAGTAAAACATTAATTAAATTATTATAATTAATATTTTCCCTTTAATTTTTTCTCCGATTAATTATAAAATAAAAAAGACATATTTCGATATAAAAATAAATAAATTTCATTATTATTTTTTTTACGTTTCTCGGTTAACAAAAAATGAACTTATTTCATGTAAAGTTAGATTATGAAATATTCACTTATTTGTGAAGGTTGCATGAATTAAAAATATGTGTTATATGATTTCTTAGGCTCAAGAAAACTTCAACAGTTAAAATTTCAAAAAAAATCTATTTATATATTACATATTAGTGTCATATGAAAGATCATAAAAATTCATGAATTTTGATATATTTTTTGAAAAATTTGGAGAACAAATTAAAAAGTTACAAAAGATTAAAAGTTTTTGGGATTATAGTGACATCAGTATGACATCACCGTGACATCAGCGGAATGCATAACTGGCCTACTTTTTCTTTTTCTTTTCTTTTTCCTTTTCTTTTCCCCTGTCAATCCTCCCTCTATTTTTAGAACCCTCCATCCACTTACCCACTTTTACTACCCTCTATAACACACCACTAAATGAAATTAGGAGTCCAAAATTTCCATCTTTAACATTTTGGACTCCTAATACCTCGCCACTCCAAGTGGTCTTAAAAGCTAAACATAAACCGTCCCATCTGTAAGGTGTTAGAGACTATATAACCAAGCTCATTCCCGTCCAGGATTGCCCCTCTGCAACATCCACCGCCTCAGTAATTGATAGGGAGAGGGTGGGAATAAGGTGTTAGAGACTGTATAACCAAGCCCATTCCGTCGATCCAACTCGATGAGGAGTTGGACGGGGGTAGGGGCGGTAGCCCCTGGCCGATTTTTTTTGGATCCTTTTCTGTATGGGCCGCGA